TACCGTGTGATCCATTTATGTGGGTACACTCATTGTCTCAGAAAGAATCGAATAATATTATTCCAAATTACGGCATTACATTTAAATGACGCATCATTTTGGCTTTGTTTTGATTTATTGCCGAAAACCGGAGTCCACTACGATATAGGGAACTTCCATCATTATTGTTTTTATTCGTCCCGAACGAAGGTTTTTTTTTTTTTATTCCGAGGTGTGTATGTATTGTTTTAGATTTACTAATTTGTGTGTGTGTGTGTGTGTGTGCGTTTGATAACATCTACGGCGTGGTTTCGGTTATAATTACAAGTCGGCTAGAATAATAGTACTCGTAATAATAATGTCATGATATTATTATGCCATTAACTCAATGGTCTATGCCTCTATGGCAATAACTTACAGTGGCGCCGAAGCAGTATTAAAATAGTCGTGCAAACTTTCCGAAATAGTTAATACAAACCACCGCCTACCTAAAAAAAAAATTTTCACGAACCCAGTCAAATTTCTTTTTATAGAAACATTGCTATCACTTTGAATTGGAGCAAAATCGCTGGTAGAAAAGTCGTCTACAGCAAAAAAAAAAAAAAAATCGTAATATTTTACTGGTATATATTTCGTATATTTTCCCGTTTGTCCTCAGTTTTTTTTCCCTCGGTTTTTCACATTCGATGAGAAAACTCTTGAGAAAATCGAAAAACGCCCTCTCTAATGTACCTCCCAAATATCCTTTCGGAAGAGGTGCGAGATCTCCGGCAGAAAAGTCGTCCGCAGAAAAAACAAAAACAAAATACCGTAATAAGTAGGTAGCTACTTCGATCCACTCAGAATCTAAAATGTATTGTAATAATAAATCGAGTGCATCGCGTCGCGTTTTTCGCTTATTCGGGTGAAAACCGCGCGCGTTTTCGCGCCGCACGGGGAGAAAAAAAAAAAAACTACGCCGGCGACGACCGCGACGGCGACGACGACGACGGTTTTAGGCCCGGCGAGCAGAGCGCAAAATCTCGCGGCGCGTTCCAGCAACCGTTTTCCTCGAGGTAGCGAGTGTACAGTACATCGCGATGTGCCGTCCCGTCACCACGCGAGCGATATTATTAAAAACGCCGCCCGTCCCCGGCCGTTCATTACGGGCATAAGCGCAGCAATAGTTTACGGCGAGCGACGTGTTTTTCGCCGTTTTCCCGCCGCCGCCGCCGCCGCCGCCGCCGCCGCCGCCGCCGACGCCGCCGCCGCCGTCGGTAAAACGAATCGGCCGTTGGACGCGTAGTGGCGTCCGTCGTTCCGCGTACGTTTTTCCGTCGCGATCTCCCGCGCGCGGTTCCATCCGAACGAAAATATCCGCCGTGTCATCGCGCGCACATTAACAACAACAATAACAACAAAAATAATAATAATAATAATAATGATAATAAAACGAGAATATTATAGGTGAGGCGTAAATCGGCCGGCCGTCCGCGACATTAACCCGTGCGCAAACCGTTCGATTTTCGCGTCGGATCTCGCGTAAACCGTGACGAAATTTCCGTTATAAACTAAAATACAACAGTATAAAAGTATAACGAATTTAGCAAAAAAAAAAATCAAATCGTAATATTTCGTTAAAAACAAAACCACCGTCGGACTGTGTACGCGACGACTGCGTTCGCGGATCGCACTGCTGTGCAATAATATTGCGAGGTGAGCAAACGACTATACCGACGAGTATATTATTACCTACCCGACAAATTGTTACATTTTTTTCTCGATTCTTTATCATCTGTCGATCCGGCAAACGGATTTTAAATTATATTATCAAAAAGTGTAAAGTATTATTTCAGTTCCGGGAGATTTACCGGCACCAACCGCGTTCTATGAATTCCGAGGGTATAGCGAAGACACTATTAAAGTTTTACTAAACTACGATGCGTACGAACGATTTTTCGAAAAATTGCTTTTTATGTTTTTTTTTTTTTTTTTTTTGTACTTTATACAAAACATTTACCGTAATTTTCAACAATTCACTTCTTAGGTCGCCTTTTTTTTTTTATCGGTTAAACACTTTTTCATTTAGTATCTACGCGCTTAATCATTCGCATCTAAAATTATGCGGATTTTTCGTCTGGTAGTACCTATATACTTTATTTGAAAAACATTTCTAGGTTTCCAACAGTTTTTTTTTATAAAATTTAAAATCTAAACGTCGATACACCGGTTTTACATTTTTTGATTTGATCTGTGATATGCGTATATGATATATTAGCGAAACGTTGTGTTTTTCCTCTTGTAATTTGTGTCTAAAATAGCACTTTTCATTTGCAAAGATTTATTTTGAAAAAATATAGTTTGCGAGAGAGAAAAAAAATTTATACATTTTTTTATTATTACTTATTATGCGGACACGACTCGTTTAGTATAACAACAAGTATAATACCAACGAACAGGTTGCAATCAAAATAACATAGCAAAAAAAGGAAAAAAAATATAAGTTTTTATTCTACATAGTTTTACTATCGGACTAAGTATAATACTATTATTTTTAGATTCTGAGTATAACGAAAATATTATTAGTTTTTTAAGGACTTTGCTTCATTTTTGTTTACGCCATGATTGAAAAATGCAGATTTTTCGTCTGCATTCTTTGTATTTTATTTAAATCATTTTTTCGAAATTCCCAATATTTTTTTCCAAAAATTGCTTTTGTTTAAAAAAAAAACAAAATATTTGTTTGGTAAGTCAAATGTTCCATTTTTTTTTTACGTAATACTTACCTTAAAGTATGCGTAATTTCCACCCGGTAGTATTTTATTTGAAAGATTTATTAGAATTTTCAGACATTTATATCATTCGTCCTTTTTTTTTTTTTTTTATTAATATTTGTTGATTTCTGGGCTACTTTTCAGCGACTATAGGAAAAACACGACTTAATCTATTATACTAATCCAATCAGAATTGTTTTTTTTTTTTGTAATGATTTACCGTTGTTTACATTATTTTAACTAAAATACACTTTGTATCTTACCTTACCAACTACTAATCTGCATGGCTTATGCCCATGAGGATTATCGGTTTTCAAAAAAAAAGTTTTTGCTTTTAAAATAAAAAAAAAGTTGTACTTTTTTTCGGTCATGTATACGTTTCGTTTTTAGTTGATATGATATGTGTAAGATAGATTTTATTTTGAATTATAGGTTGCACTTTATTTTTTCGCGAACGGAAAAAATATGTCAATAACAATAATTGTCTGATATAATATAAGTACCTACAATAGTCAATAAGTCAACAATGCAATATAAAAAAAAAATTATGCAAAATCAAAAAAAAAAAATCTAATGTCGACGTAACATTTATAATACAATAATATTACTAATAATAGTAGGCATATATAATTATAACAAAACAAAAAAAAAAAAAACAAAACAAAACCATAAACTGTACGGACTGTAAATAATATAATAGTATAATATTACCTATGGATTTGTAGGACATTTTTTTGTTCAAACATAACGTTATAAAACATAATATTATTACTATTTTGTTAATGTGGTTAATAGACAATAATATTATGATATATTACAAACGACAAAAAAAAAAAAGTTATTTGATTTCAATGTTGTTGTTCCGCGAAACGAATGAACAATTTTTTACTTACACTAAATGCCTGTACTTATAGTGCTAGTTTCATTGGTAGTTAACACAAAATATTTCAGTAGAATAGACTTGGATAGAAATGGCGCCATTTTTTTTTTGTCAGCAAGATTGATTGTACGAAAATATATACGTTACACAGATTTCCAAAATGTTAATCCCCGCGGTGCGCAATAAAACTTATATGCGTTTGAACGGAAACGACTATTTATAACATCAGATTCGAATAGTAATACAATTTTTTTCTGTTTATGTACCAACTAAAAGTTTATTGAGAAAAACAAATCATGTTTATTTAAAAATACATTTTTTTTTTCGATTATTTAAAAACGAAATTGAAGAAATTTGACCATTAGCTGTTTATAGGGAAAACAACTACGAGTAAAGATATTTATGAAATTGCACAACCACATAGTAACCATAGATGATGTATATTAAAGGATAGGCCGTGTCTGTAACAAAAATCCACGGGGTCACGTTGTAGAGTGCTCGAAACACCCTGAGCTACTACGTTTCTGAATATAATCATTCTAGTGATTGACTCTACTACATTTCAATAAGTTTTTATCAAACTGCAAATACCCGATAAGAAAAAAATATTTGTTTAATTTGAATACTAATAAAGAAATTGGGTAGCGTAATAATATGTTATATATACAGTCATAAATCATAATGGTTAAAATATAAATACAATTTTAGGTAATAATAATCATATCCTAAGCATATTTCTATTCATTTCTAAAATGTGGTATTTTTTCAAACACTTTATAATATTTTAATAACGTTTTTGGCTTTGTGAAATAAGTAATCGTATTTTCAGATTCTAAGCGGGACGAGGAATTTATTGTTTTTAGAATAATGTTTATTTTTTTTTCTGAGAGGAAATTTGACTGGGCTGGTACTTTAGGAAACTAACTTTTTGATTTTACCAGTGGTTTTCATAATAAATGGGAAAATCTACATTATGTATTATTTTCAAATCGTAAATATTATGACCTTTCAAAACATGTATAATCGAACTCTGCTTAGAATTGTTTTTCGTTAGCAAAGATTAATCGTTGTGTACAGATGCACATTAAATTCCCCTTTATATCCTACCTTCCCAACTTTTTACCTACCACAGCGGCTCACCCAGCATGTGAAGTACGTCCTGATTTTTGTTATGTTAATATAACAGCGATCATAACTAAAATGATATCGTAATATTACCAATTAATAATTAATTATACCGATAAGTAACAAAATGACACCATAGTGGTAGCACTGTGGTTACTTCGGGGCTCTTTTTTTAACAAGCTGTATGACACGGAATGTCGTATCATATTATATATGATATTAGAAAATATATTTAAATATATGTTTAAACGCTGATTAAAACGAGGAATGTATTTGGTTCTGGTAAACCATGATTTTATATCGTTTTAATAGTTGAATTCTGAACGAATTGAACGTTCCCAGAGAGATTTCGATATATTCATCGGATTGATTATAACATTATTAAAATTTGGCATCAGTAATTTGGGATGACATCAGATTTCCGATGTGATTTTCCGAAGAAATTCACATTGGCGCAACATAATTAATCAGTATAGATCATGAGGTTGCTTCATCATATGAAATGTAATGGTTAAGTTGTAACCACTACTGATGCAAATATTCAATGTGTCGGCAGGCCTTATATGCCTATGCCGACCAAACGCGCCTGACTACTCGACGCTTTTGTTGCCGTCCGGTAGACGGTTGCGGACGAATAAAAAATCGTTCCCAGTAGTTGAGAAGGGTCGGGTATCGATTTAAATTGATTTTGAGCCAGGTATCCGAACGGATTAAAGTGATTTACGTACCGAAAGCGGCAGAAATCAAGCCTCGGAGAATGACCGCCGATAGCTGGTCACGAGCAGTGACATCTGTCGGCACCAGTTAACACCGCACGGGCAGCGAAACGGTAACGGTCGTCTTATTGGTGCCGCACTCAAGTGGACATTTCGGTTTCCTTCGACTTGTTTATTTGGATTCATTTTTCTTCAGCGCATTTTGTGTGGTATACAATTATAAAATTCATTTCGAATGAAAATCTCTCAAACAAAGTACCAACCTAAATTAAAAATATCTGTATAAAATAGCGGACACGTAACCAAAACGATTATTAATATTGATAAAACACAAAGGTCCACTGCCGGGTACTTGACAAGTACGAATGCTTGATAATATCAAGTTAAATAATAAAAAAAAAAATAATAAAATAAAAAAAACAATTACTTGGTACATAAATGTTTTAGTAAATACTAGTTATTTATTTACTTAATAATAATTCGGTTAAACATTTTTTTTTCTCTAAGAAATTTAACAGTATTAATTAGTATTCAATGTTGTCAATATTACCTATTTTAAACGTGACGAAGAAGTTGTTAGGTTTGGTATTTTTTTTTATCAGAAATAATTTTTTTGGGTTAATTAAAATTCTCCGATTTTTTTTATGCCTTGTGATGTACAAATATAGATGCGAATATATTGCCACGTGGTAGATTATTTAAAATAATTTTAAAATTCTCAACAGTTTTTCAATTAGAAATTCGACTTATGTTTTTTTGAAAACAATTTTTGTTGAGTGAAATGATTTAAACACTAAATATATAACCAATATTAAAATTGTATTGTTAAGGAAATATGTTGGTAATTCGTCTTTCATTATTCATTGTTTCTAGTTTTATACCCGTTATTTATGGGGTCTATTAGATATATTTTAAAAGGATTTTCGTTCTTAATCTTGAGTACCATCATTTATGTTCAATTTTTAATGTTAATATACCAATTATTAATAATCGTTTTTGCATGAAATTATATTGTCATTCTGTTACACACGAAAAACATAGATGTGTTCCTATAAAAAATAAACGTTTTTTTGCAAATCATTGTCATTTTTATTGTTCCGCAAATAAAAAAAAAAAAAACAAAAAAAAATTGTCAATATTATTTAACGACGATATCATAAAGATAATAATTAATAATTGTTCGTGAGTTAGATATAATATTTCACTGCTAAAATAAAAATTATCTGACAAAATGATATTTTGAATATCACACAAAACAAGAGAAAACACATATATATTTCAAAAGTGTGATACTTCTGATGAGTGTGCTATTGTTTTAAGAAGGAAGTTGGAAAAGAGGATATATAGAAAAACTGAATTTATATCTGCACCCAACGATAAACCATTGCTACCGAAAACCGATTCTGAGCAGAGTATTATTATATTTTATATTTATAGTTATATTTTCCCTTGTCAAGGTAACCCAGAATTCAACAAAAATTATAATACAAACAATAGCCCGTTTATGTCATTCATTTCGAAAACTATAAGACAAACAAAATTACCTCCCCTCTGCATAAACTAGTTAAAACACGTCACAAGAAGGTTTAAATAGAGTTTTTGATTGGATCAAGATCTGGTAGAAAGGTTATTTATAGACGCATACACAAAAAAAGCACACATGGTAAAACTATTAAGTTCCTAGCTTCTCTTCGAATCTAAAATTTCTACTTAAACCAATACCTACAATATAAGGTAAATGACACTTTTGAAGATTACCACGGCTAGCTGCTAATTATATACTATTATGCCATAGTGGAATATTCATTTAATTGAGTCTGTGCCAGGATCGTCGAATTCGTTAATTTGTGAATGAATCTTGTCTGTGATGATTTATAAAAAATAACCTTAGATATACGGGTTAAAAAATTATAATGTGCCACAATGGGCATGCTACTATTATGGTACACGTGCGCGTTTTTCTAACTTTGATGTAGATTTGATTGAGATCGAGGTCGATGATTTTTTTTTTTTAATAGTTTGCCTGCGGAACGAAACTATCGAAAATGTTCTGTAAAAAAATATCTTGATTTTTAATTTATACAGTATGTACATTTAATTGGAAAGCCAGTAGCTGTAATTCGAAATATAATGCAGATATTGAATTGCAGTTTCTAAAATGTAATATATGACTACATAATAGTTTCCTTTTTATAATGGTATAAAATAAAAAAAGTCAAGAACCACTAAACAATTTTACAATATTATGTTGTATTTTTAGAAAAAGAAATTTCTTTCATTTATTCAGAATTTAGCCAATTTCAAAATTGTTTTTTTTCCATACTTTAAATAAATAACTTTACAAAATGGCTACTTAAGAATTTTTTAAAAATCAAAAAAAAAAAAAAGGTTTTAGCGGTCCTCGAATTTTTTAATTTTAGACCATTATACAAGGGAGGTTATTAATCATAATATATTACATTGAAAAAACTGCAGTACAATATCTGAATTATATTTCGAATTACAGCTACCGAGTTTCCAATTAATTCACATACGGTATAGCTATATGATATGATATTTTGAAATTTAACATTTTGTAATTTCTTGATTTCCTTTGTAATTTTATTAATTTATTTAACCTATTATCTTGAAAATTATTCGGTGTCTACAGGACCATCTCGTTTCATAACCAATAAATCCATCTGTATCAATACACCTCCGAAGTCTTTACAGTTCAGTTCACATTCATTAGCTTCCATATTCTTTTTAGTCAAATTTTCTCACCTTATTATTGGTGTTTCCAATAGTCTTATAATTATTTTCTAATGTTTTACTCGCGTATACATCATTAATTTTAATTGATGTGGATGATTTTCAAAACAATCATAATCATTATTATCATTTTGGATTTTATTCTAAAAAGTACTTATGTGCAACTGCAGTACATATACCAATTATAACAATAATTTGATAGCGATAGGCAATATATTTATCGCGATATTAATTTGTAAAAAATACGTGAACAATATCGCTGTAACTCGGTATATTAAGAGTTCATAAAAAAATTGTTTGGAAAAACAGTTCAAATAATGAGGAGTGCCATTATTTAATATAAGTCATTTTTATTATGTAAGCATACATAAATTTGAAATGTATTCTATAATGGATGAAATGTGTGTTTTAGTATCATTCCTATTTACCCAACGAAAACCGAATTTACATCCAATAAGTCATCTTACTGAAATACTTAGTGTTATCTAAAAAAAAAATGATCAAACTGTATGCTGGACTCGTATGAAAAAAAAAATAGACGAAAAAGAAAAGGTCATGGGAGAGATATTATCCTGATTTCACCCTCTCTCTTTATATAACCTCCTAAATACGCCACACTGTTTAGCGATTTCATCGCGCAAGTGGCGGTGGTCACGCACGTCTATTTATACTTTTTAAAGATCACTGTAAAAATATTGTTAATTATTATTATTATTATTATTATTTTTAACACGTCGGACATTTATTTGTTGCGTGTATAATTGTATATTTCTAGTAACGTTTTCGATCGAAGTGAAATGACAAACAAATATTCAGTGTGAATTATTTACGCAATTACTTATTTAACGTATTTAATTACTTATTTTACACAATTTAAAAAATGTATTTTCCATGCCTAGTAACATATGGTATTAGTATTTTTAAATTCGAAGCGAACGAAGGATCTATAGGTTTTACTATGATTTTTACTTTTTTATTTGTTCTGTTCTAATATTCTCCCAGAAATATTGTTCTAATGAATAGAGTGTAGCATCTTTTTTGAAAAAAACATTCTCTAGTTGGTGTATTAAAAGTATTATTTTTTGATTTTCCAAGGTGTTTTCAAAATGATTGGGAAAAACTGAAAAAAAATTGTAGGTATAACAGTAAATTTATGGCACGCTGGGTCGTGGCGTTATTGATTTCATTGGTTTTAATTTTTGCAACTATGTTTTCTATTAGAAATATTGCTTTTATAAAAGAACGCTAAAAGATCTTTTTTGTGAATTTTAGATCAGATGCTCATGAAAAAAGTCGTTTTTTGGTTTTTCAACTAGTTTTTACAATAATTGGGAAAACCGGAAAAAAATGAAAAACGAATAAATTTATGGTATTACGATTTCATTATTATAAATTTGTATGCTTATTTATGTTTTCTACCAGAAATATTGCTCTAATATAAAAGCAACAAGAGACCTTTTATGTTGAATTTTAATTTAGTTGGTGATTAAGATAGTCGTCTTATGATTTTCTTTTTAGTTTTTTTAATAATTCGGAAAACCGAACAAATCGTAAATTAGTTAAAAATATTCGTAGAGACTTGAAATTTTGACAGAAATCTTAAACTTGCCTTAAATTGTTGGCTATTTATAGACATTTGCATTTTTTGAGGTTTTTACGTAATTTGGTAGCTATTCAGTGGATAAAATTGTTAGACTAAATAGAAATGCTTATAAATATGACAGGAGATTTATTATCAGTCGTACTCAGTGGTCAAAAAAAAAAAGAGAGTAGAATGTAATGTAGTATTTTTTTTATAATAAAACTTTTAATATTAAATTTTGATGATCTAAAATGTACATTATTATTTTATATTAAGTTTGTAAGGCTATTGTGATGGATATTATATAGTTTATTTAGCTTCAATAATTTAAAATGCTAATAACAGCTAAAACCAAAACATTCTTTACAAACGGAAATGTTTTTACAAACCTATAAAGGTTTGTGGTTTACAAATGAAATATATTTTTTTATAGAGTTTTTTTATGACATACCTTAAAAGATACCGACTTTTGCCTTACTTTATTTG